TTCTTGACCATGACACTTTTTTGGAGCTGATATGATTTCTTTGGAATTGGGAACTGCTGGTCAGGATAATCTTTGCAAATGTAGATAGGAACCTGGTGTACACATTTTGTTTTAATTAATTGATTAATTAATGTTTAGCTTTCAGCATTCACTTCCATAAGATTTTGAGTTCCAAATCTTCTCCCCTCCCTTTCCCTTCCCCTTCCCCAAGACAGCATGCAATCTGATATAGGCTCTACTTACACATTCATATTAAGCATATTTTCACATTAGTCATGATGTAAAGAAGAATTAGAACTAATGGGAGGAACCATTGAGAAAGAAGAAACAAAACAAAATCACCAAAAAAAAGGAGAGCAAATAGTGTGCTTCGATCTGCATTCAGGCTCCACAGTTCTTTCTCTGGTTGTGGATAGTTTTTTTCCATCATGAGTCTTTTGGAGTTGTTTTAGATCCTTGTATTTCTGAGAAGAGCTAAGTCTATCAAAGTCAGTCATTGCACAACATGGCTATTACTGTGTACAACATTCCCCTGGTTCTGCTCATTTCACTCAACATCAGTTCATATAAGTCTTTCCAGGTTTTTCTGAAGTCTACTTGCTCATCATTTCTTATAGCACAACAATATTCCATTACATTCATATACCACAACTTGTTCAGCCATTCCCCAATTGATTGGTATCCCCTCAATTTCCAATTCTTTGCCTTCACAGAAAGAGCTGTCAAAAATATTTTTGTACATGCGGCTCCTTTTCCCATTTGTATGATCTCTTTGGGATACAGCCCTAGAAATGGTATTGCTGAGTCAAAGGGTATGCACATTTTTATAGCCCTTTTGGCATAGTTACAAATTGCTCTCCAGAATGGTTGGATCAGTTCACAACCCCACCAATAATGCATTACTGTTCCAATTTTCTCACATCTTCTCCAGCAGTTATCATTTTCCTGTTTTGTCATGTTGGCCAATCTGATAGGTGTGACGTGGTACCTCAGAGTTGTTTTGATTTACATTTCTCTAATCAATAGTGATTTACAGCATTTTTTCATATGACCATAGATAGCTTTAATTTCTTCCTCTGAAAACTTCCTGTTCATATCCTTTGACCATTTATCAATTGGGGAATGATTTGTATTCTTATAAATTTGACTGAGTTCTTAATATATTTTAGAAATGAGGCCTTTATAAGAAATACTGGCTGTAAAAAAATGTTTCCCAGCTTTCTGCTTCTCTTCTAATCTTGGTTCCATTGGCTTTGTTTGTGCAAAAATTTTTCAATTTAATATAGTCAAAATTATCCATTTTGCATTTTATAATGTTCTTCATCTCCTGTTTGGTCATAAATTCTTCCCTTCTCCATAGATCTGACAGGTAAACTATTCCTTGCCCTCCTAGTTTGCTTATAGTAACAGTCTTTATACCTAAATCATACATCCATTTTGATTTTATCTTGGTATAAATTGTAAGATATTGGTCTATGCCTAGTTTCTGCCATACTATTTTCCAGTTTTCCCCAGGAGTTTTTGTTAAATAGTGAGTTCTTATCTTAGAAGCTGGAGTCTTTGGATTTATCAAATAATAGATCGCTATTTTCATTGACTGTTACTTCTTGCATACCTAACCTATTCCACTGATTCACCACTCTATTTCTTAGCCAGTACCAAGTAATTTTACCTGATCTACATCTTAAAGCTAAGTGAATTCCCTGGGAGTGCTGAGAGGTTGTGACTTGCTTGGATTCAAACATTTAATATGTGACAGAGACTGAACTTGAACCCAGGTCTTCCTAACTTCGAGGCAATCTCCCTATCCATTACCTTACACTATTTTTCGTGAGGCTATAAAAATGAAGTAAATGAAGTTTTTTCCCGATGAAGAAACCTACAGGAAGAGCTTGGTGAGCAAGAAAGTTTAATTAAAAAGTAGAAAAAGTCTTCACAATTCCTATGTTAATTCTGCCTCTCAGTTTTGTGGCATTTGCAAGAATAATAGTATGCCATCTATGCCTCTGTCGTTGACAAACATGCTGGACTGCTCAGGACCAAGGACAGTTCCTAAGGGACATTTCAGAAGAAACCACCTTCAGATATTGAATTGTTAATGACTGTCACTTCAGTTTAGCCATTCAACTAGTTCAGAATACAACAAACTATACTTTCTTCTAGCCCACATCTCTCCATCTTCTCCACAAGGATGGCTTGGGATACTTGGGCAAATGCTTTGCTGAAATCCAGGTATGCTGTGTCTACAGCAATGGTTTCCAAGTTTTTGAGTTGGAAACCCCCCCTTTTTTTTTTTACAGAACAATTTCCCAGATCCCCCTCTCCCACCTGATTATATTTGTACTTACCATAAGTATTTGATTGAGAAAACACATTATGACAAAAAGGAACTCTGAATTCAATAGCACTTTTCAGTGAATTTGTATTTTATTAGTCATGACAGCATTTGAATATATTTGCAAAATAATTCATATAGATGGGAAACATTATTTATTCAGTCTAAAATTTAATTCAATAAATATTTATTACATGCCTGGTATGTACAAGGCACCATGCTAGGCACTGGGAATATATTCAACTTTTAAAAATAGGCTTTTGCCCCCATTGAGCTTACATTCTAGTGGGGGGGGGTGCAACATGAAAACCAGAGAAGTTTAAAAAAAGAGAAATTGAGGAGAGAGACAGAGACAGACAGACACACACACACACACAGAGAGAGAGAGAGAGAGAGAGAGACAGAGACAGAGACAGAGACAGAGACAGAGACAGAGAGAGAGAGAGAGAGAGAGAGAGAGAGAGAGAGAGAGAGAGACAGAGACAGAGACAGAGACAGAGAGAGAGAGACAGAGAGAAATAAGAAGGGCAAGAGTTCTTAACTGTTTTGGTTTATAGACTTCTTTGGTAGTCTGTTGAATCCCAGTGGACCCCTTCTCAGAATAATGTTTTTCCATGTAAAAACTAGAACATAGGAGCAAAAAAGAAACCAACTATATTGAAATATAGGTAGAAAAATATTTGTTAAGAAGAAGTTCACAAATTTCAGGCTAAGAACTCCTGAATTAGGTGGATCAAAAAGGCTTCTTGGAGGAGATGGCTTGTGAACTGAGCTTTCAAGGACAAAAAGGCTTCTTGGAGGAGATGGCTTGTGAACTGAGCTTTCAAGGAAACTAAAGATTCTAAGTGGAGAAAGTGACTAGAGAGGCTATTCAGAGTATGGGGGACAATCTATTCAAAGTCATGGGAGACAGAAGATGGAATATGAAGTTTGAGGAAGAGCAAGTAAACCATTTTGACTGGAACACTGTATGAGGGAATGATGTGCCATTAGCTGGAAAGCTGGGCTGGAGGCAGGTGGAGGTGAGAGGTTTGTATTTTATTCTAAAGGCAACATGAAGCCAAAGAAGAGTTTTGAGTAGGAACATGAAACGGTCAAGCTGATTAGCTTATTCTGGCAACCGCATGAAGAAGGAATTCATGAAGGGGGGAGAGGGAAACTGGGAGCCCAGTTAGGAAGCTTGTAATTCTCTAGGCCAAAGATAAGGAAGGCCTAAACGAGGGTGGTGACCAGGGTAGCAGAGATAAGATGAAAGAAGGCATCTTTGTTTATTTATGGATAATTGGATCTTTTTCAATAATTAAGTGGCCCCCCCCATGCCTTCAGATGGACAACCATTTCGTGGGTGCATGAAATGGTGTTATATGATGAAGTCATGCAGGAGAACACACCAAATGCCCTTAAATGATGACACGAGCCTAGTAAGTCAGCAACATTTTATAACTTCTCCAGAATCCTAGGGACAGACATTTACACAGAGAGCCATGGAGGTGGGAAAGGGCTACCACATCTGTGTCCACATTGGTGGGCAGTGTCAACATCTATGACTTCATCAGAGTAGGGAAACTCCCAATACTAATTCAGATCAACAAGCAGGGAAGCAAAACAGAAGGCAAAAGTCTGGTCCCTGTCCTCAAGAAGCTCACGTTCTAATCGGGGAGACAACAGGTAAACAGCTATGTACATACAAGTTTTATATAGCATAAATGGAAAGTAATCTTATAGGGGAAGAACTACAATACAACGATATTCTAATGATGTAAAAAATAGAGGAGAAAGGTAATAGAGGTCTGTGAAGTACTATGTACTTGTGCCCAAAGAATCTAGAAAAGACTAAGCTGAGTTCCAAAGATGATAGGATTTAAACTTAAAATGATGTCACTTGTAGGTAATTTGGTACAGTGGTGAATTTACTGGCTCTGAGGTTAGGGACCTGAGTTCAAATCCCACCTCTTGTGACCCTGGGCAAGTTCCTTTCCTTCTCTAACCTGCAGTTTCCTTGTTTTTATGATGAGTAGGTTGGATTAGGTGACCTCTGAGCTACCTTTCTAAATCTAAAATCCTACATTATTATTTGCGTTGTCTGCTTATTTAAAGGACAAATAAGTCATGACCATTCTCTTTGAACCAAAACTGAGTTTTAAATCTTGGCATTTCTTGAAATGTTCAAGTTATTTCTTTTTTCTCTTCCTAGTCACTTCAAGTCAAAGACCTCAACTAAAGCATGACTGTCCAATATGGTAAAAAGCAAAAATTAAGGAATTGTATGGGTGAAGGAGGGATATTGATTTCCATAATAGAAAATAATCCATTTACACACTGACTGTGAAGGGGAGGCAGGTGGGAGAGGGTTGGGTGGTCAAGATGAGATGCCAGTTAATCAACCATTATTGATCATCTGCCCAGAAAACATATCTCTTCCAAATACAGCCTAAACGGGGTGTCACCACCCAACAGAAAGGAGGCTAAATCAACAGGCAGTGTGGTAGCTACTCTTCTGATGCCCATCCTGTGTACCCCCCCCTTCCCTATGGCTAGGAAGCCCAGGGATGTTGCAGGACAGATCCTCCCACAGGCAGGCCCCAGGCTCCCTTAATTTAATCTCCTTCCCCAAAAAGGAATAGCAGTGTAAAAATGGAAGCTCTCACCCTTGTAATCAGCTGTGCCGTGTGCACAAGGGCAGCAGTCTCTGGTGCCTCATCTGTGAACTAATCTTTCATTTCATAGGAGATCTTTCCATATCAAACAACACAAATGACTTAATTTGCATGACAGGATTTGTAACGGGGCGAATCCAGTGTCAAAGTCGATTAAAGATTACACCAGAGAACTATCATAATCAGGTCTCTAATGAGCCTAAATAGGCCCGGGAAGACTCCTCCTTTTGCCATTCTAGCCGTGTATCAAAGGGACCGTGTTTCTTTTCATCGACGAGCCCGGACGCCAGTATGCCCAGGACGCCCAACGTGGAGCGAAAGTCATGTCAGCCTGATTTCAGAGGGAGAGAAAAAGAAATAATAAAGCAAACAACACTTCACAAATGACATTGCTTGCTATAAGCCAACGTTTGAAGCCCCTAATTCTTCTAATCTGCAAAATAGTCAATGCTAATGGGTTTTTGCCTTTGTGTGAGTTGATGCATAGGAAGAAAAACCCTAATGAGCTGCCTGGGCTGTGTGCTTACAGATACCTGTCAAATGTCTGTCATCTTAGCCAGGGCTCAGGCATTCTAAAGAAAGTAAGAAGGAAGGCGCGACAGTATTTGTACAAGCATTTTCATGCTAAAATGGCTCAATTTTCCTCCTGTCATAATTTCATTGTATCTGGAAGTCAGAAAAGCTTAACCCTTTCCCAGTCGAGGCCTGTGCGGGTGGGATGGGGAGCAGAGCCTGGAGAGTCAGCTTTGCTGCCATGGGGGACCAGCCCCACTTGCAGCCTCCCCTGAGTCAGGGAGCTGTTTCTTTAGGGAAGAGGAATGACAGATGTTGCAAACTGACAGCAAATGATTTGAAGCCATCATTTTGCCCCAAGGTGGGGGGGGTCAGTTTGTGAAATGGCAACTCCTGAAGACAGACCCCATCTTCCCTCGAATTTCATGAGTGCGTGCTTTCTGGTTTCCTAATTTAATATTTCTTCAGAGCTGTTGTTTGGTGGAAGAGATTACCAGGGCAGAGAGGTCAACAATTTACAACCTCCTCATGCTTGCTCACCTTCCCTTTGATTCTAAGAAGCAGCCAGTGCAAGGGGATCGGATTACACAGGCACCTGCAGGCAAGCTTTGCCCAGGTGAAGGAGGCAGGGAGGCAAGAGCAACCTGGTGACCTGGGATTCAGAAGTCAGCCAGTAAAATGCAATGGCAGTCAAAACTGGGAATGGAAAAACCGTGAGCCCAGTTGGGCCTTTTTGTTCTCCCCCCACCCCATTCCAAATGGCCTTCCTGTTGAAACTCTCTGCCGCATTCTAGCCTGAATTATTCAAGGAGGAAAGGCAAACTTTCACCTTTATGATCGTTAGTATGTGAAGGCATAATGCAGATAGATCATTCATTTTAGAGCTGGAAAGGACATAAAGGCCATCTAGCCCACTCCTTTCATTTTATGGATGAGAAAAGAAACTGAGAACAGAGACGCTGAGTACCTTGCCCAAGGTCACACAGGAAACTGGGATCCAAACTGAGATTCTCTGGCTCCAACTCCGTTTGCTCTTTCCAGCACTCACCAGTACGTCCTTCTTTGAGTCAATTTTGTTTTCTCTGTGGCCAAAAAGGAGGCAAAGAGAGTCGCCCTCCTAGTAAAAAACAAAGCAAAACAAAGCTACGTTCAACTCTGTCTTCTGATACATGGGGACTGGGTGACTGTAGATAAGTCACTCCATCTCTCAGTGACAATTAAGTGGCAAGTGGCAATCTGCATTGGCTGAGGGTGTGCCTTCACAGGGAGTGTGTTCTACCAATGACCTCACAGGTCCACTGGCACTCCTCCCAACAATAATGGGGATAAACAACGAAGCAACCGAGGCAGTGTCTCCATTAGTGTGCTAGGTTTACTTATAAGAGTATCTGGATTCGAATCCTGCCTGACTTACCACCTTCGTGACCCTGAGTATCAGGAAGTCCCCTTAAAGATCCATAGCAACCCCCTGGGAGGAGGGAGCTGTCACATCGATGAAACCAGTGTCCTTATACTAACAAAACCAGGGAGAGAGGGGGATGGAGAAAGTTTCAGTCAGGAGCTAGGAGAAGGATCCCGAATTCAGGATTTGATTCCCTACCCGCCTGCCGGTTGGCTGGGCAAAACTAGGAATGCCTTTCAGAATGTTGATGCCTATTACAGAGATATCTTCAGAGCCCTGAAAGGAAAAGTATGGATAAAATGAAGAATGACTAACGGGTTTTATGAAAACACACAATAGCACTGTGAAAACATTTAATTCATTTTTTTTTCCTTTTTGGTGAGGCAATCGAGGTTAAATGACTTGTCCAGGGTCACACAGCTAGTAGGAGTTAAGTGTCTGAGGTAGGATTTGAACTCAAGTATTCCTGACTCCAAGCTTTATCCACTGCGCCACCTAGCTGCCCCAACTTAATTTTCTTTTCTTTTCTTTCTTTCCTTCTTTCCTTCTTCCTTTCTTCTTTCTTTCTTTCTTGGCCAGGCAATGGGGTTAAGTGACTTGCCCAGGGTCACACAGCTAGTAAGTGTTATGTGTCTGAGGCTGGATTTGAACTTAGGTTCTCCTGAATCCAGGGTCAGTGCTCTATCCACTGCGGCACCTAGCTGCCCCCCCCCACACACTTAATTTTAAAAGTATTTATTGAGTACTTCCTGTATGCCAGTCACTGGGGATACAAATATAAAAAATCATTCTGGCCTTCAACTAGTTTTTTTATACATTGTTTGATAGATACAGTGCATTTTAAAAAATACAAATGGTTTTCAATATAAACTATTCTTCAGTGTTTATAAGGTCCCTGCTAGCCCTCTTTCCCCCTTTCCTCCCCAAACCTCTTGGTTATGTTCTAATAGCCAGGTTTCCCTGTGTTTTTCTGTCAAGTGAAATTTATGACATCCATTGGCTCTATGGTGGATGGCCTCTAGAGGGTAACCTGTCTTCAGGATGAAAAATTGGGATATTTTGGTATCCCGTTATGACATGTTGTTTCTAGAGAGGAGTTTCTAGATATTTAGACTTTTCTAAGCCTGTGGGCAGGTGTCAAAAAGCAGAATATTTCATTCTTGTCTGAGCTTTCTTTAGAAATGGGGTCTCAGACACTGACTCTGAGCTTTTAGGATCAATGATTTATTTAGCTAGAAGGGCCCCCTGAGGCCATCTAGTGTAACCCACTCTTCTTACATATAAGGAAAGTGAGGCTGAGAAAGAAGTAACCTGCCCAAAGTCACACAGGTACTAAGCATCAGAAATAGGACTTGAACCCAGACCTTTAGGGCCAACACTCTTTGCCTTTCTTTTCCCCATAGCCCCTTCAATTTGGGGGCCATCTCCAGTCATCCACATCTGTATCTGGCCATTGGTCCCAGATGGCTCCAGAGGAGAGAGTGAGGCTGGTGACTTTGCACAGCCCTCCCTCACTGTAATCCAATTCACTTGTAAGTCATGGCGTCACCTTCCTGATGTCCTAGTCCTCTTTCAGAATGAAGGACAAACAACAGCCTTTGATTCAAAGAGACCTTCTTTAAGGAAGCCATTAGCAGTGGGGTGGTTGTTCACAAGGTCCATTGTGATGTCAGAGTGCAGCTCACTGTGACATCATGGAGGAATCTCTTACCCTGGGCTGCAGGAAAGGAGAAGCAGCTTAACTAAAGCCCCTTCCTGCTTCCTCTTCCAGTGGCCACTGATCAAACAAGCTTCACTCACTTCAGTCGAATGACATTAGTCAAATGAAATGACACTTTCAGGTCAGAACAGTTGAGACAAAAGTGTGGGAAAGAAGGAGGGCTAAAATATTTAGGGTCTAGATGGGGTCCCGAAGTGGGTGTTGTCACAAAGGGCCAAAATAAGTCATACACATGATTTAGCAGTGAAGACGGCAATTCCCTGAAACCATGTGCGGCTTCTTCTGTCTCACTTCCATTCAACAGATGTTCATTTATTGAGCACATGTAACAGGAGCAATGTTGGGAACTGGAAGGAGGAAATGCAATATATCTGAAGAGAAGTAAGCACAAAGTCTGCTTAAAGTAGCTTGAAGACAGAAAAATCAGAAAAGCAATCCAGTAAGCATTTATCACTGGATGCAAAAATAGAGATGAAAAATTGCCCTTCAAGGAGCTTATGTTCTACTGAAGGAGACTGTAAGTAAATAGGTAGGTAAATACAAATACATATATATATTAGTATATGTGTATATACATATATATGTATATATACACATACAGAAAACGAAAAGTAACTGTAGTATGGGGGGCAGAGAGAATACAATTTTTTAAAATCTTGTCTTTGTGCTCCCAGGAGGCCTAATGGTTAGAGTTTTCTTGGTCTTATTAAAAATCAGTTAAAAATAAAGGCAGCTAGGCGGCACAGTGGGAAAGGAGCTAGGCTTGAAAACCAGACAGAGCCGAATTAAAATCCTGCCTCAGATACCTATGTCTGCCTTGGTTTGTCATCTCTAAAACGAGAATAATAATGGTATCTACCTCGCAGTTGTGCTAAGATTACAAGAGATTATAAATGTGAAGCCCTTTACAAACCCTAAAGGACTACGCAATGTTAATTATTATGCTTGTTATACTCAATAAATGCTTACTTTGCCTTTGTGTCCTCAGTGCCTAGCAGAGTGCTTGGCATATGGTAGGTGTTTAGTAAATGCTCATCGATTGACTTCTTGATTGTTAGTACTTAATGAATGCTTGCTGCTTTGAATGGAATGGCAAAGGGCTTTCAGGTGGGAGCTGGTTCTAGGGCTGAGTCTTAAAAGAAATGAGGGATGGGAGCTGACTGGCTACATGCAGGGCAAGGCCCCTTCTAGTTCTCTATCTCCAGTCTCATGCTAAGTCAAAGCTGGACCCTCCTCCTTACTTTAAGTGAGAGTGAGCTTTGCCTGTGTTGTATTGTGTAAAAGCTGAAGACATGTTATCTTCTAATAATTTCTTGGACTCCAGGATACGGACTTGTGAAGGTAGAAGGCTTCTGTATCCTTGGAAAACACTGGCTTGTCCATTGACGGATCAGTAATTCCTAGAGGAAGAAACACTTGGTGTGAGAGCATTGATAAGCATGATGTGCTAATCACACCTACTTTTCTGGGGGAAAAAAGCCCGTCCTTATTAATCATCCTCTGTTGCCCTCCCAGCCTGTTCTTTATGTTGATTCCCCCCAGCCCTCCTCCCCATCCCGACCGTTGTGTCTGGGATGTATATAGCATTCATGCCATACGGAGCACTGAGCTGGCCACCATTAACATACAAACTTTAATAACACACATTAGCCATCCAGGGGCAGTTTGGACTCAAATTTCATCCACTTTCCAATATGAATAATTCAACACCTCTGTCCGATTGTTCTTGCAACGCCTGTGAGACTAAATACTGCCCTCCCCCCCCAGCCCAGCCCCCACTCTCCCTACCCCCATCCCAGCAGTAGTCGGGTTCAGTTTTTTTGCAGATTAGTGGAATTACCATGGATGTTTCTGAGTAAATTTTGCTTGCAATACTAAACTCGCTTCCCCCCCCCCAACACTGTGCCTCTGACCCAGTGGCTACACCTCTGATCCTGCACACCCCAGAGGCTGTCACAAGTCTCCCTCCTTCCCAGGAGTTGAACACACAATAGAGAATGGGCCCTGACTGTGAGGTTCAGCTGCCATTATTAACCCTACCAGCTGCTCCTGCAGGGGGCCTTCTGGGTCTGAATGTCCTTTCTCTGCGGAGGCCCTCATTGCCACTAATCTAACTATTGTCGGTTAGGAATGCTGACAGGAGAAAAGAAATTTTTCTTGTGTCCATGCAAGTGTGTGTATCCATGTGTAAGTGAAGGAAGAGTGAAGGCTAATTTCTATAGTTGGCATGAATGGAAGGATTGGGAAAAAAACCTAGTTAAAATGTGTTTACTTGCTTAAAAGGCTTAGTCAATTTAAATCATTTCACTACTGTGCTCTATTTTTTTAAGGAGAAAAAAACAGGAAAAAAAAACTAGTTACTCTTATAATTTTCTTTAGTTCCCCGGAGATGTTTGGGCATGTTTTAGACTTTCTAAATTCAATGTGGGGAGAAAAAATTAAATTGCATTTCTTTTTTTCAATGCTAGCATAAAGTTACATGAACACAGAATTACTCACTTTTAATGGACCTTAAAAAAATCAGAAAAAAAAAACTGGTTGTACAGGTCACACATACTTCCTTCAGATTATCTACGTACCACACTCGGGGACACTTTTGGCTCTGTCGTGGTAAGGAAAGCAAGAAAGGTAGGAACTTTTCTCAATGCCTTTTAGGGTGAGAAAGGAAAGGAAAAGGACACACCCCACTGTTTCTATAGTTATTTTTGTTCTCTGGGAACCTTGTGGTTCAGTAAAGGAGGGAGGTTTTTCTACTATACAAGAGGTGACTTTAAGGATGGTGCCTGGTCCCTTCATACAGATTTGATCAGCAGACCACTTGGGAGCACATTGATTTCCTGGAGGAAGTCAAACAGGTACAAGTATGATCCAAGTTTTAATTACATGGCAAAAACTCACAACATATTTTGTTCACTTGAAAACTCTATTGTAATTTTGTTCTCTGAAAATTTCATTTTCCTATTGCTACCGGGCTGGATACATAGAAGCAGTCCTAAATGCTATTCTCCTTTTTTACCATTTGAGAAAGTTCGGAAAAATACAACAGTTGGTCTATTTCAAATCAAATTAAGAATAATTCAGGTAGAAATGTATTTTCTGCGCAATTAGACTCCATCGTCGTAGGGCAAATGTCTGATATCATAAAGTGCTATTCTGCATCTGTTCCTGTGTCTAGACTATGGCAATTACTGGGCCTTACAAAAGCAGCAGCACAGGAGAACACGGCTTACAGGTTTTCCCGATTAAAATGCCACATTCTCCATCTTTGCCCCTTTATTACCTAAATCATTTGATTGGGAGAAAATAAATTTAATTTAATGAAGTTGTACTTTTCCAATTTTTGCCCACAAACACATAAGTGGTCAGTGCCGAGTCTGTTTTCCAAAACATTAGAAGCAAATGCTCCAGTACTCACTGCATTAAAACGGACTGTGGCCAAAATAATAATGCTTTACACACTTAAAAAAACAGAACACCACCAAATAACAAAAAAAAAACCCTCAACAAAAAAAAAATCCCACAGAATAGGGCTGTTTGTAAAATATTCACCTTCCTTTCCCTCTCCTAGTTTTCACAAAAAAAAAAGATAGCCCCAAAATGGTGCCAAAGAGACCAGATAGCTAGAGCAGAAGACCCCAGGGATCCCAACTGTAGAGCCTGAAGAGGTTTACAAAGAGCTTTCCTGAACACAGCCTAATGAGATGAGGAATACAAGGGCTGTGACTCCTATTTGACAGAGGAAGAAACTGTGGCTCAGAAAAATCAAATCACTTGATTTGCCTAAAGTCAGACATTTAACAAATGTCAGAGCCATGCCAAAAGCCCGGTGCTCTTTCTCTGATGATGTACCCTCTTTTTCTAATAAGTCATCCAGTACAACTAGGCCCTTCGCCCAAAAATCTGGCAATGGCTTTCTTATCTAGCTTGAGAAATCAGTTTTCTGTGCCAATTTTTGAACACTCGTCAGTAGGCTGCAGTCAGCAGCTGGAAGGGCTGGACATGCAGCCATTGGATGAGTCCGTCAATAGGTCCCTGGCTTTTTATGTGTGTATGTGTGTGCGTGCATGTGACTGTATATGTATATATAGATACACACTATGGATATTTTGTGTATATATATATATATATATATATATATATATATATATATATATATATGTATGTATACACACACACGCACAGACACACATCTTTTGGATAGGGACTACATGCAGACAATGAATTTGGCCCACAAATGAGCAGGAAGAACTTAAGTTACATAAATATGATTACTAATGGCTCCTGTCATAATTACAGAAGAATGAAAATGACCAATATGTCAAAGGTCAAGGGAAAGGTGGGCATAAATAAGGCCAACCTACTACCCAGAATGACTTGTACTTCAGAGGTGGCATCTAGGCATGTATGACCAGAAATGGGGGTTAGATGAAACTAGAGATATTGGATGGATATGGGAGATATTGGATGGTGGGAAGTCATCCCAAGATCTGGAAGGTTGACACAAGGATCCCAGACATACCTGTGGCTAGTCAGCAATTAGAAATTCACTGGAAGAGAAAGCAAAGTGGCAAACCCAGGGATCCCAGCTGTAGAGCCTGAAAAGAGATATTGAATGAATAGCCTCAGAATCTGCAAGATATTGCAAGAACTTGAAGAAGGCTTCTTCTAGTGGAGTGGGTGAATTGTCTATGGAGAACTTTTGTAAAAACACAGACAATAAAGAATGAATGAATGAATGAGTGAATGGAAAAGCATTCAGTAAGCAGTTACTACATGCCAAGCACGTCCAAATACAAAAGCAAGACAGTTCTTTACCTCCAAGAGCTTACATTCCAAAGGGAGTACCAATTAATATAGGGTAGTGGCAACCAGGGAGGAGTATTTGGATTTGGAAAATTAGAGAGATGGTGAGTAGAGCTATAGGTAAGCAGATGGCATAAGCTTTCCAGGAGCAATAGCAGTATTGCTTTGATTATGGTTGCAGAACTAGAAAGAGCAGGGTGGGAAGAAGAACGTGTGTGTGGTAGCAAGGTGATTGGAGTAAAGATGATCAAGGATCCTGCCTAGATGTAGTAGGCCAGATGAGGCACCCACCAATCAGGACAATGAGGCCCCAAAACAAAAGTTCCAGGGAAGAAAGTTCTCCAGGGCATGGTCTCTTTTTTGGAGAAGGGGGAGCAGAAATGTTAGTAGCAGTAGTATATTGGCTAGAATACCAGACTTGGCATTAGAAAGATATGTTTGAATCCTGCTTTAGACACTTAGTAGCTATGTGACCCTGGGCAAGTCACTTAAGTTCTGTGTCTTTTTCCTCAACTGGAAAATGAGAGGATTGGACATTTAAGCTCTCTTTGAGCTCTAAGTCTATGATGCCCTGAATGAGATGGGATGGAGGCTTAGTTTACACACTGGTGGGGAGAGTGTCCACCTACAAAAACATAAATCTAGAAAGGTAGTTTTATATTCCCTAGTAAGAACATTCACTGGACATTCTCTGAATGATCAAAAGAGACATCAGCTGGTTCCCTACTTGGCTTTCCCTTCCAGTGAATCTCCAATTGCTGGCAATCTAAGGGTATGTCTAGACCCCTTTCCATCTTGGGATGACTTCCCACCGCCATGAGACACTAGTGTCGAACCGTAATGGAGATAGCCAGCCATGACTGCAGTAGCCTCTCTCCTTGCAGCTCCCTCTCTCCAGGCCCTGTTCTCACCCTTTCTGTTCTTTCTTCTCTCTGACCTGGATATGTGAGCATAATGCGGACATGCAGGAGGGACTGAAAGAAAAATGATGAGGAGTGATCCCAGCAGATGACAACTATAAAATGGAAATGTACAAGAAGAGCACCAGATAACATTGAATATGCAAACTGGGTCATTGTCTATGCTAATGAGTGTGTAAATGAGCATGCAAATGGTCATATACTCCGGTTTTCCATGGCTGGGTCCAAGAGCATGTTCTAGAGAGCTGGGCTTGGAGTCAGGAAGACCAATAGATTTGTACAAGCTTGTGACCAAGTCCTGTTACCTCTCTGTGCCTCAAGATACTTGTACGTAAAAGATAATAATCCTGCTGCGCCTACTTGGCAGTGTTGCTATAGGGCCCAAGTGGGATAATGTATATAAAGTGCTTTAGAAATTCCAAAGTATTATAGAAATACTGGTTCTTATTATTATTTCATGTTCTGTACTGGTGATCTTAGGAGGATCTTATGGAAAGCCCACAGTGTGGCCCTGAGAAATCTTATGACTTGCATATTGAACTTAAAGGACACGGGTTTTGATTTAAACGTTTCACATAACTTAATGAATGAAAAGAGTAATAACCTCACTGATCCCATAAGGCATGCATATGCTGTAAGTTATCCCTTCTGCTATGTAATGGCAAACTTGAGGAGGCCCACACAAGACCCAGCTGGCCTCCTACAAGCCTTAGAACTACAGAGGCTTAATGGGCCCTTGTTATAGACTGTCCTTGACTTACCAGCATTCCACTTAGGGAGAGCCCATACGTGTCAGTGACTTTTTTTAATCCTTCCTGGGCCAACAGAACCAGCCATTGGCTCTGCCTTCCCTTGGAACTTCTGTCAGCTCCTTTCCTGGGGTACTAACTCTCCCCTATAGACATCAGGGCTGACCAGTGGAGGAGCCCCTCTGTTAGAATATAAGCTCATTTCAAATAGAGATTCTTTCTTTCATTATACTGGTATCCACAGTGCCTAACTTGGTGCCTGGCGTGTAAGAGGCACTCAACAATCACTTGTGACTGATTGATCATGAAATAACAGCTTTAGAACTGGAACGCTAACCACTCTTGCCTCACCTCCAACCTGAGACGTCTGGGGGTTTTAGGATTTACAGAGATTCAAGCTTAGGAGAACACAGGGGCTCATCTAACAGTGGTTTCAAGAAG